CCTTGGCATGACGGCCAGGGGACACGAGCGAGCCGGAGAGGCCTCTAGGCGCCAGCCACCCGTCCACCGCCTAGCAGCCTACTCGCGTAGTCTGCCTCGGCTTAAACCGAGGGCCTCTGTGGGCGCCACTGTGGGCGCCAGTGCTCATCGCCTGCACTGCCGCCACTTGGGAAAATGCTAAACTGCCTTAACGCGGGCTGTTCTCTCTAAGGCCTGCCCGCTGTCCTGCCGCAGCCCAATCTGCCGGCCAGTGACGCTGAAGTTGGCTGCAAAGCCAAGGGCGTGCTTCATAAAGCAGCGTGTCCAACAGCACGCACACAACAGGTGGAACGCCTACGGCAGATGAACATGCTTCTGCCTGCTGGAATTGTGGGCCGACTTAGGCAAAAATGCAACCGAAGACATTGATAATATGGGTAGTAATTGTTGAAAACGCGAGAGAGCAGCTGCAGCCTCCTACCTGGACAAGCGTCCGGGAGTGGGGCAGCATTCCCAGCGTCCCATTTGAAATGACGGCGATGACCACACTGGCCCCGACAGCCCAGAGCCCTGAGGTATTTTAAGTTGAGCGGGTGGCTTTAGCCTGGCTGTGGAGCGCCTGGTTCCTCCCTTGCCGTGCAAGTCATGTCAGGACCTGCCACCGCCAAATTGGGATGTTGCATTCCATGTGATTTCAGGCAGTGCACTTGATAGCAATCAAAACCCTTTAATTTACTCAACTGCATTTTCAGCAGCACCCAGAATTTGTTGGGTCAGAGTGCAATTGGCAAGTAGCCATGTCCCACAGTACAGAGGCACTGTCTGAGCCCTTGGCGTTAAGCAACCCTTGGTGACTGACCAGTGGCTGGTGCGACCGGCTTGGCTCAAGGCATCGGCTGGCTATTGTGACCAGCTGGCAACAGCAGTGACTGGTGCGATCAGCTGGCCAATGCGACCATCCGGCTATCAGAGTGGCTGGTGAAATCGGCTGCCTGGCCACTGGGGGTTGCCAACGAACGCTGGACACTTGTCAGCACTCGGCCGCGCTGAGTGCGACTGGCGCCCCCTCGTGGATTGGACATCCGAAAAGCGGGTGCCTGTCCGTCATGCCCGTGGCGGGGCACGATGGCGGAATCGTCTTGATACGCACGCACTCACAAATACGCACGCACTGGCATATGCAGTGGAATGTGTGCTCTCTTCCCACTGAACAACTCCGGGCAAAGGTAAGTGACTAATCCTTGCACGACCGAGTTTGACTTTGTGTGTGTGGCTGTCTTGCGGTGTGTAAATGGCGCCTTGCTGCGTCACCCTTCAGACGTGGAAGACATCAAATTTGTCATCAATTACGACTACCCAAACTCGTCGGAGGACTATGTACACCGCATAGGCCGCACAGCTCGCAGCACCAACAAGGGCACTGCCTACACCTTCTTTACTCCATCCAACCTCCGCCAGGCCAACGACCTGGTGAACGTCCTACGAGAGGCCAACCAGGCCATCAACCCCAAGCTGCTAGAGCTGGCTGGTGGGGCCCGTGGAGGCAAAGGTATTGCACAGATAACATTTTCACTTTGCTAAAGATTTTAATACTTGTCTTGCTGTGGCTGGTGTACACTGGAAATTAGATTATTTTGTCTTGGGTTTGAGTTCATTTTTCACACATTGGTACAGTAAGGGTGGTGGTGGTTTGTGCAGGGATGTGTGAACGCATGCTGTATTGACCATGTCCCCCCCCCCTTTTTGTCTATATACAGGTCGCTCCCGGTACCGTGGTGGTGGTGGAGGTGGCGGCAGTTACCGCGATGACAGCGATGACGATCGACGTGACCGCTTCGGTAGTCGCTTTGGCTCCGGCCGAGATCGCGACCGAGACCGTGGTGGTCGGGACCGCGATAGCGGGAGCAGTCGGGATCGTGGGTACGGGTTATCGGGAGGGAACAGAGACTCTGGCTCGAACCGAGATGCTGACAGTAACAACAGCCAGAGCCAGATGCTGCAAAAAAGCCTGCTTGGGTTAGCACCACAAGGTGGTCTATCCCTAATAGGCCAGCCAGGTCTCCTGGGACTGATCCCTTCTTTCTCTGCTGCCAGGGACGGTAAGTTGGCCCAGGTGGGTGGGGACCAAAGCTCGCAGCAGTCAGCGCAGCAGCAGCAGCAGTTTCTTACAGCGAGCACGCCCCAAATCTCAACCCTCCTTGCGCAGCAGTACAGCCAGTACCAGTCACCCATGCCGCTCATGAGCCTCAACTTTATTCCTGACTTAAACCAGGCTAACTTCTGTTTGCCTGCGAATGGTGTTGTGCCCCCTCCTCCCCCACCCCCTCCTCCCCCAGGAGTTAAAAATTGATTTCACTCTTCATTTCTGTTCACTTGTGTATTAACACTTCGAAAGTAGATCAAACATTTAAGGACATTTACTTACATATACTTTTGTTCCTTGATTTAGAAAAAATTGTGTAAAAGTGATTGTCCAACTCCATTCCCCGTGTCCCTCTTATTTTGACAACACTCGTATGACAATTGGACTTTGAATTGGTACTCGAGCAACATGGACTCGGGGTGGGGGGGGGGACTAGGAAATGGAGTTAGGTTCTGCATTATCGGGGCAATCATCCCATGGTAAGTAGCATGTTTTTGGTTTAAAACAAAAAAAGTCCTTGTGAAGGTGTTTGACACATTCCCATTTATTTGTATAGTCTTAACCTTTTCAGAGCTCTGTATTTGTAGTGTTACCAAATTATGGCGTAGCACTCATGTTTGTATCGTTTTCAATAAAGGCCAATGAGCACACGAGTGGTCCGTGTGGTGTTGTGCGACGTGTTTGTGGTCTGATCTTTTTGTTAAGCACAGCGAGACGAGCCATTACGTCTTTGAGGGATTTTTTCACATTGTCTATATTCTGTCTACGCTCAAATCTTCAGATCTAGGAAGCCTAAAAGAGCTCAATGTTGTACTCATCTCGCGTTACAATTCAAGATTTCATTTAAATAACTTATAGATCCCGCTGAGCCTCTTGGGGTTTTTTTTTACTTTAAAATGTATTGCACACTTTATAAGAATGTACAAATATTTGTAAAGAAATTTTCAAAAATCATTTTAAGTGTTTTGCAAATAAAATTAGAAAAATTCTGGGGTCAAGGATTTGTAGATGCAATTTTAACTAATCTGGTGGAGGGTCTCTTCACGCTGGTCAGTGCGGCGAGAAGCGAAGACGAGGCAGTGTGTACAGTACAGGGACTACTCATGAATATAGTCGACTTAGAAACGTGCAGAAATACGAATAGATCCCTGCATGTCATGCAGATGCCATCTGCAGAACATGAGCCAGCATCTGTAGAACGTGAAGAACCAGTGGCAACTATATACGTAGTAAATAAAGAACCAGTGGCATCTGCAGAACATGAACCAGTGGCAATTACATATGTAGCAAATTAACCAGTGGCATCTACATCTGCAAAGAAATTAACCCGTAAAAACAAAAATTTTCACTATAAATCCTTTATATGCGTGGCATCTGTTTTATTATTCATTTCTGTTTTTCTTGAGTAAGAGTTTCATTTAAATCACATTGGTATTTTAAATTAAATATGAAAAAAAAGTGGGAATTTTTTTCACTAAAATAAATTGTCACGCACAACGAGTCTGTGTGCCAAATGTCAGCTCGATTGGATCACGGGAAGTGGGTTAAAAAACGACCGAAAGATTTGCACGGTCGTAAGCGTGCAAGCAAGCAAGTGAACTTAATATAAAGGATTTAAAAACAACCAGTGGCATCTACATCTGCAGAACACGAAGAACCAGTGGCATCTGCAGAACATGAAGAATCGGTGGCATCTACAGGAGATTATACAATTTTTTTAAAGCCATTCCCTGTGTTTCGTGTACACGCCGTGCAACACGTTTGGAATCGACGGGGACTAAACGTTAGACTCGCGAACAAATCGACTTTGGAACAACCCTCTGGGACCCAACTCGTTCGTCACCAGAGTCCCTCGACAGCAGAACAGCCACCACCCTCGACCCCTCCCCGCACGCTGCTTACAGCCAAATTTAAAGCAGTTCCTATGATTACTGTTGTTACATTGTTTTTATAGCGTTATTTTGGTGATTTCGAAAACATGGGTACTCTAAATTGTATTATGATTGTTATTGTTTGACTTGCATCACACTGGGATTTTTGCACAGTGTTTTTTTGGGAAGATTTGCTGGTTTATCCAGGATGTTTTTGTTGCGCGTCGTTGCTTTAAGATGTTCTCCGTTCATATTTAGTTTGTTGCGGTTGCACCCGCACCCGACTTCAAGTTCAAGTTAATTTATTAGGTATAGCCCTGTGAGCCATTCGGCTCTTGAATCGGGTGCAACCGCAACAAACAAAAACATGAACAAGAAACATCTTAAAGTGAATATGTAACTAAGTGCAAACAGAAAATCCAAGAAAAGACAGCTAAATATTGCAGAAAAAACACCGTACACCAACGCTGTGTGCAAAAATCCCAGTGGGATTCAAGTCAAACATAACAACCACAAGACAACTTAGATTAAGGCCATCAGTCTTCCTCCGTACTACAACAAACATGGCCAAACCAAAAAAACTTTTCTAAATGACCAAAATAAAGCCATGAAAGCACTGTGACGGAATTTTCACAATAAACGACAAACAACATGTACTGTTCATGTTTTTGTATTTTTTGTTTGTTGCGGATGCACCCGATTCAAGAGCCGAATGGCTTACAGGGCTATACCTAATAAATGAACTTGAACTTAAGATTCTAGATTTGAAGCTTTCGTGACTGCAAGGATTCATTAGTTATTTCGGTAAAGTCACGTAGGTAAAATATGAAGTTAAATTTAATGAAAGTAAAATAAAAATAACGACGTTTTGGAGGCATCAGGTGGGACCGTCACAGCCAGATTGAACTTAATAGCCACATGGCTCACAGGGCTCTACCAAATAAATGAAATTTGAGGCCACCGGAAGTCGCTGACACGTGCTGATCGACCACTTCCGGCCACTTCCTCCTCCTCTTCCCCGCCAGTCTCACGCCACCCGCTGCCGCCTCTACGCAGATCGCAAAGCGCGGTGGTTTACACACTCGAGTTAGGGAGGGGTGTTGCGGGAAGAGTTATCGTCGAGTTACATACAATTAATATGTACAAGGTGAAGCCGTTCTATAGCTCCGCGCCGCTGGACGATCTGCCCGGCTGCATGTACCGACTCCCGGGCGTCCACGCCGCGCCCGGGGTCGACGCCTCCGCCGCCGCTGCCTCGCAGGTGCGGTGGTGCCCGGCAGGGCTGTTAGGAAAATCGTGTAGGCTTGGGCCTTGCGCCGCTCGGGGTTGAGGGGGGGCATTTAATGCGAACACGGTTTAAATGTCTCCTGGGCTTAAGTCGCGGGGAGGTGTCCGCTGGCTGCCGTTGTCGTGGCGAGTTTTGTTTTGTTGTTGTGGTACAATGAGAAAGTTTAATAAAATAGCGTTCAGCGCCACGGTGCAACACGGCCTCTTCCTTCTAGGCCATGGTAAACCGGCACATGCCGGTGTCGCTTAAAATACTGAATAAAATTAACGTGATTTCCAACACTTGGGAGTCCCACTGCACGTCCTATCGTTGTAAATTCGTTTCTGGCTGTGTTGCACTCTATGGTTTTATATTCGGGGGCTTTGCGTTCATTCTTAGATTCGCGTGGTCAGAGGCACCTGGAAAGTGATTGTCTTGGGGTGACACTCGCGAAGAGACGCCACGCGGCTGGGCGATGGGGGCTCAATGTGGGACTTGAAGTGGTTTTGTTCATGGCTCTCGTCATGGTTCTTGGTGATGGCATAGCCTGTGAACACACACGGTCGGTTTGATCCCAGGGAAATTGAGTTTTGAGGTCCCATACGGCGTACAGCCGTTTCAATTCGGGCAACAACAAAACATTTGTATTTTGTGTATTTCCCTTGTGATGGCACTTTGTAGGATGCTCGTTGAGATTAATAAGGGCACGGGGGTGACCAATAAGGTCTCAGTTGGTATCCTAATAAGGTGAGCACTGACAAGGGGTTGACAGGTATGTGATGGGGACTCGAATGGTAAGATGATTAGTTATGACTCAGCGTGAAACTGGTTCCTGGGTTATTGTGCCTAATTTCAGCCCACACCATGAATGCCAATTACGTTACATGTGTGTATTTTTGTACAGTATGTTGAACTTTTTTCGCACCCTACGTAACCATCCGTGCCAATCGGAGGTTGCGGGGAAGGACAACAAATTAAACACAAAAAGTAGTTCTAAAGAAATGAGCTTTCAATCTAGATTTAAAAGTGCATTGCTCCCGTGGTTTCCAAATACTGTATCGGAATGGAAGAGCGTTCCAGATGGCGACAGAAACGCATCTGAAAGCGTCAATGCGGTCGTCTTTGTTCGGTGGTTCGCCAAAATCCACTGCGAGGATGACTGGACTTTGCGTGATGGTTTATGCTCTTAGCTATGGGACGACAATGGAGAATCCGGTGGACACTCACGCAGAACAGGAAGAGAATATACACACGCCACAAAGACGCCCGAGTCGGGAATCGAACCCAGGAACTTCTGGCCGTGAGGCACAAGGAACAAGTGCTACTATTGCACCACCCTGCCGCATCATTATGCGTACAGTACGTTGATACCGCGAGTTGTGTCGAAATTGAAATGCCGTTCTTATTTGGAACTGTTAATCAGCTTTACAAATCGTATATTACATTTAAAAATCAGAACTGAAATAACCAAGATAAATAACAATCGTGTGTTATCAGACATGGGTAGTGGTAAAACAGCAAAGGGTAGTAATTTAATATACAAAGAGGGGCTCTCAAAATACTGAACCCTAATAAAGCTTCATCCGTTCCTGGCAATAACGCAGCACAACCCTGGGCCAACAAATCCACGTCTGGGTGGATGAAACCACCTGAGCCCAATGAGTCTCAGGCAAGCCAGGCCCCCCCATCACTAACCAGTTCTAGGGGTAGACAAGACAAGCACTTCATCATGCCACAGTTTTTCAGAACAGAAATCAACTTTGCTGGAATGTGCGGTGCAGGGGGAGGATGCCACCCTGCTGGAGCTGGAGCAGCGGCAGGAGGCGATGCTGCGCCGGCTACACAAGTTGCGTAACGAGGTGGATGATCTGGTGCGAGCCGTGCTAGTGCCCAGCGGGCCCCAGAGCTCAGCTCCTGCAGCCGGTGCCAGCTCCTCGCCGCAGCTTCACTCGTGCCCTGCTCACCACCACCAACACGATGGGCAGCTCGACGCTATCTTTGGCATGGTACGTCGGTGCGGAACCATCAGCGTGACAACTTTGACAGCTTTTTTTATATTCTTTGGGTCTTTCGGTAAAGTCACGTAGATAGGTTCAAAGAAAATAAAAAAACTACGACGTTTCGATCGCAACACAAGCGGTCGTCTTTAGAGGAGGCTGGCGATTCTGAGACGGGGATAATGCATGGGTTAAGATACCAAGGCAGCAATCTTACACAGGCTGACAGGGTCACGTACAGACGCAGGCACACGAGGCCAAACTCAGAAATTGTGAAAGAGATGGGTACTTAAGGACAAACATATGCCCCTTTTCCACTAGCATACCCAAGCCACACAATTGCACCCATGCCATGAGGGCTCTGCACTCATGGCATGGGTGTCTTTACACCGGCTATTTTCTGTGCCGAGCCAGAGCCAAACTGTGATACGCTATCCTCACAAGACTTATGAATCTGGTTCAGGGTCAACCAGAGCCAAAGGCAGGTTGTCATTTTCGTCATACGTTGCTTCAGCAGCATGGGCTCGGGTTCTTCAGTGGATACAACTTGACACCTCCTGAGCCATGCTGGGTTTACTCGACATGGCCCCGGTGTGGCTCGGTTGTACCAGTGGAAAAGAAGTAATAGACTCATATAGCGACATTGACCCCCACAAACAAACAAAAAACAGACGTACACAATACGACATGAAGGGGCAGAGTCAAAGAAAGAGGTGCCACGTTTAGCCTTGATTGCTATTGTTTATCATCAGGTAAGACCTGATGAAATATTCTTTATTGAGATATGCAATAATGTTCTGTAGTTCATTTCCATTGATTGTTAGAATAACTATTGCATCAGAACATTCGAGATGGTTAATATATTCTCCATGTGTTTTTTAATAAAAGCAGAAAAGCGCACAGAGAAGCCATGGGGAAGTGCACGCTTGGAATTGCACAGAGAACGAGGAACGCATGGCTTAGAGAAAATATGCAAGTTAGGGAGACATCATATTGACTTTAAAGAAAACAAATGGTTTTGGGCAGGACACAATGCTAGAATTTCACCACTGACTACAGCACTTCTAGTAGTGGCAGTAAGAACTAAACTAATCATTGGCGATATCTTTGTCATCAGTCTGAATTATCCATTTTTGCCTGAAGGTGTGCTAAGAAAATGGCAACAACTCCCAAAGTATTGAAGGGCACACTTTCAAACTTGCAGAGATTATTGGCTCGTCGATGTGCTGCAATATGCGATATTTATAAGACAATCTGAGGTTGCGTTATTTGATTGTTGCATTTATAAGGTCAAGGTACAAAGTAACTTACTTATTTGTTCTTTATTTTCTTCCATTTCCCTTCAAGGGATATTTTTATTCCAAGATTAATTCAGGAGTTTTTAAATGACACCGGACTCACCTTTCTGCATACACTTCGAGGGACTTTACAATACCTGGAAGTCCACCGAGTGGTCTGGTTCGGGTCAAACTTCATTAACCTACACATAACGAACGGGTGATCAGATTTGACCTATCATTAATTGGGCCAGTATCTATCTTGGCTAAATACAAATATGTCCTCCAAATCTTATCAAAATTGGGGTTGATGAAGTACAGTCGTGACTGAATGGGCCTGGTTCTGTGCCTCCAGGGCGGTGGTGTCGTGCGCGACATTGTGGTGGTCGCCAGCCCCGCGCGGCCGCCCCTGTCCGTGATCGTGCTGCACCAGCTGCTGCGCCACCGCTACCGCGTGCTGACCGCTGTGCACGTCCACTCCAACGCCACCGCACTCGTGCCTCCTGCCCTGCGGCTCTGCCTGGGGCCGCCCAGCGCCAACGACTCCCGCAGCGACCACCAGCTCGTGCTCACCATCATCTGGAAAGATGGTGGGGGAACAGCACACGCACGCACGCATGCACGAGCGCAGAAACTACATGGGTGTCTAGGACCTCCGATGGATAGGACAACGATCAAGATAGGCCATGCAGAAGTTTATCCCGCGTGCCAGAGTAAAATGTTGGGCATTATGCCAAACGACATGCGGTACAACTCAAAAACACATCCGTGAGCGAAATCCTTTAACAGACTGTTGGAAAGACCAACATATGGCGCACAACGTGGTGGTGTCGCCAGCACCACACCCGACTGTCTTCGCTTCCCAAGTGCTAATTTTTTTAACACTTCAAAGGTACTCACTTTTAAGGCTGATTCAATCTGGGGAAGGCCCAAGATAAATTTAGATATCATTCGCCACTGATGTTAGCCGTGGCCACAAATTGAGATAGAAGGTCGCCGTGTCCATAACACGGTGGATCAACCAGTGCACCACTGCTCTAAACTGGTGGCGTGTACACACACGCACACACACGGGAGTGCGCAATTTTTCAGTGGGGTGGGGTGGGGCATGCACGTACACACGCACGTACACACGGGTGGCTTGGAACCTCTCTGTGAGATGGCGTTTAGTGAGATGGAGCTCAGCGAGACTTGGTGCTATTAGTAGTGCTCTCATTCCACGTTGACATCGGTCCTTTATTTAACCACGTGAGAACCAGCTGAGATGAACTGCCTCTTTTTCCAGGGGGCTGTGATTTACTGTGTCCACACAGCAGCATCTCTTGTTATTCTTTATTTATTTGAGATTTGCGCTCTGGGGTTTTCCTTTAAAAGTCTGGCGATATCTCCGTTGCTACCAGTGTATTTTGATGCCACTATATTTTGATAAAAAAATCTGATGAGAGTAAGCCATCGTTAAGTTAGGAGTGATACTCTATGACTCGTGCCACCCTTGTGATTGACCACTTTATAACGTGTTATGCTTATTTATCCAGGAGAGCTTCACTGAGTTGATTCTCTTTTTTTCAGGAGTATTCTGCTTTGGGAAGTTTGGCAAATGGCAGCTTAATCTGTGTTTAATAAGATCTTTAACATCCACTTCAGTATTATCCATGCTGCACGTACATTTTGTGATGCGGGAGCAACAATGGCACAGTGGTTTGTGTACTGCAATTCCTGAGCACAGCTAATGTCCGTAGTGAGTGATATCTGAATTCAAAATCTTTATTTTATTTAGACTGGACGAATCTGATGAGCTATGAAGCTCTTTGTCACAGATGTCCAGTAGGGGAGGGTCAGAAAGTTACAACAACAAACTGAATTGGTCCTGCATCCTGGACCCCCGCCCCTACCTCAACTCCCCCTTCATCATCCTGCATTGATTGGCCAGCTTTGTGAAGCATGGTCAAACCACACCCCCCCCCCCTCCCCACATGATCAACATGGTGTTGGGTGGCCTTCATCTCGCAGTGGATCGAAAAATGACTCGGATGTTAAGTGAACGTTGCTCTTAGCATTCGAACTGCCGACTCGTCGGTTACTGACTCGATGACGAGTGTGCCGCCCACACGGCTGTTAAGCCTCGTGTCGAACATGAGAAGACATTGATTTTCCCGACCTCAACCCTCAGTCAGAGCCACGACAAGGAAACCTCAGCTGGGTTTACAAATTCCGAGTATCCGGTGTGGCCGGTGGATGGGTAAGCAGACACCTCGCGCACACTTCCTCACATTGAGGACACGGCTACGGCTGCGCCCTTTGATGCTGTTGATCATTTGGCTTTGTGTGTGTGCGTGTGTATGTGTGTGTAACCATGTGTGTTTGTGCAATCGCATGTCTGTGTACAGCTCTGTGTGTGGATACGTGTGTGTAGCGGTTAGCGCGCTGCGCTATGAACCTGACCCGGGTTCGATTCCCGCTCACGGCTAACACCAGTGACGATTATCTGAACCGGTCCTGGGCCTCCCCTAGGTCGACTCAGCCTTAAATAAGTACCTGGTGCGGTGTGTAAACATCGCCACTGGGGAGACAAAGGCGGTCGGGCGTGGTGCTGGCCACCCACCCCCTCATTCGTGTACCGTTCCGGCCTTCATAGGTGCTCGCTAACAGCACTTCCCCCTACAGTCTGTTAAGGCTATACGGGGGATCTTTATTTTTGTATATAAGTGGAGAGTGGTGGTGCAGTGGTGAGCACGACATGAGTTTTGAGTCCCTCACGGCCAATAACAGTGACAATTAACGGAACCAGTTGTGGGCCTTTCCTAGGTTGCCTCAAATGACTATCTGGTGCGGTGTGCAAAAACATCGCCACTGAGGAGGCAAAGGCGGTCGGGCATGGTGTTGGCCACCTACTGTACCCCCCTGTGTGTGCTGTGCCGCATTTCATAGGCGCTCGCTAACGAAACTTGCCCCAACAGTCTGTTAAGGCTACACGCGGGATCTTTGTCTTTGCAGTACCGCGGCCCGAGCTGCGCGTGAACGTCACTCACGCGTGCCCGGTGCAGGGCGAGGGCAACGTCGCTCGCTTCCTGTGGGCGCTGGCAGGCGCCGCCCCGAGCGACCCGGTCGCACGCACGCAGGATGACGCCTGGGTGGACGTGGCGGCGCTGCAGCTGCTGCCCGCTAGCCCCAAGGAACGGGCGTCTGTGCTCAAGGCCCTCAACGCCGAGCTGGGCCGGCCTGGCCACCCCTGGCTGGGCGGCGCCGAATTCTCGCTCGCCGACATCGTCATGTGGAGCGCCCTGGCGCAATCGGGAGGGCCCGCGGCCGTGGGGGGCCCCCCGCACGTGGCGCGCTGGCGCCTGGCATGCGAGGCACACCCTACCTTCCAGACGGCGAAGGGCCTGCTCTAGCGGGGGGGGCCATGGGGGGCTCCGTTCCCCTACCCCCATGACACCCCCCCACGATCCGTAGTGCAGAGCTCCTGTCCATGGGACTGCATCTGCGCGATGCCACCCCAACTCCACCTCCCCTGCCCCCCACCCCTCCACTACCTCCGTTCCTGTCCAACTCCTGTCTGCAATTTTCATGACGGATTCTCTGTGGGAGTGAAAATGCGCTTCTGCTTGACTGCGGCTTGCCCCTGCATTTCCCCCCTTGCACGTTCAACGCATGGTTGAGAGGTGTCCGTGCATTGGATAGAAAGCCTCTTGATTGTACAAGCGAGTGTCATTCGAGAGTCTGAAATGTTTGTTTAAAAGAAATAAAATTATATTTAAAAACAAAATCGCAACAAAATGACTCGACTGATAGCGTGGAGGCCATGGTGTGTGGATACAAAGTGTGCATTGCACGTGATAAGCGGCTAAGTCCGTGGATAATTTGGTCGGTGTTGTAAAATAAGTGAATAGGTAGATTTTTGGGCAGGTGATAAAGCTAGTAGGTGTGTGAGTTTATCAGGAAGCAAGCGAGCGAGTGAGCTCATGAGTGTCTGTGTGTCAGCGAGCAAGCAAAGCGAACAGGGTCAACTGGCTGGACGACTGCACAGAAGATGGCACGGTCGCCTGTCGCGTCGGCCCTTAAGCGGAGCTGCTGCTGCATTATTAACGAGAGCCTCTCTCCGCCACGCTGCACGCCGTTTATTGGCGTTCTCTGTAGGTTGAAAGGTTGCACCGTCCCGGGCGGCCAGGGCGGTGGGGGGAGGGTTAGGCGACGGAGGGGGACCCCCCCTCCCATCCGCACCTCGCTCCTTCCCCCTACAGAGTCTGTCAAAGTGTGCCCCCCCCCCATCCCTAAAACCCACCATTCCCCTTGGAGCCTTATCTCACAAAGCCAGATTAATTTTAATAACCTGAAAAGATGCTTTAATTATTTACGATCGTATCAATCGGTGCGCAGATGAAGCGCGGCGCGCTGTGCTGCTGCCACTGTCCTCGGGCCTCCCGGTGAGGGCCCTTCCTGTGGGCCCTCGGGTGTCACTGGACCCGGGGCTTTTATCGTCGGGAGCAGAGGTTGCGTGTGGGGGAACTTTTCCTCGCAGGCGCTTTTGTTTTTGTGCCCATCCTGGAAGTAAATGTCACTAATTTCAACGTCTTCTTCCGTACGTACGGCTGATGTGCAATGCGGGGGAGGGGGGGAGTGCAACAACTACGATTTCACATTCAGGTGGTCAAGCCAGGCACCTGCGTAAAGGCGCAGCGGAGTAGCGTATTGCCGCGACGTCTCCATGTTTGTGGAGCGGGCATCGCTTCGTTTACACCGTTGCACGGTCTGTTCTGGATGACCACAGTAGCACACTGGAGAATTTAACATTTTCCACCTGTGCATCGGGTATCTGCATCTGCCGTGGTTTGTGCGGATGCGGTTTAGGGAGGACCATGACCTTTGTGGAAAATCAAACTCAGCTTGTAGTGCGCTGCCGCATAATTGTCGCTCTGGTAGAGCGAGGACGACGACTCCAGAGGCAAACGGGAAAGGCAGCAGCCACACGGTGAGCCAGCTTCAAATCCTCCCCCCCCCCCCCCCCCCCCCCCAGTTCTGCAGTCCTCTATAGATTAAGGTGTTCTCGGCCAATTAATACGTGATTACGTGTGTGGGAGGAAACCGGTGTGCGCATGGAAAACCCCACGCATGCAAGGGAGGAAACGCGAGGTGACATGAAATTAGTCCGTGCTTTGCTGTACCACCTGGTGAGCCAAGGGTATGGCTTCGACTCAACATCCTTCGGAAAAAAGTTTCACAACATTTGTGCAATTCCGCAACTCTCGCCTTCGCGGTGCTGGATTACCAGCATGCGCGCCACCACCTTCTGGTATACGTTGCCGGTGTGGCTTGATTGAACCACGTTGGAAGAGTGGAGATTGTCATCTTTAGTGGCGAGATATGGATGTTTGGAGCAAGATGCAACGTCTCTGCTACTCCGTGGGTCAAGAGAGTCGTTCTTTGACAAAGAAACTAGAAAGCACAGTAAAACCCCGGTCTACATGGGGGGAGGGGGGGATGCGTTCCTGAAAGGCGCGACGACGAATATCGAGACGGCGCAAATCAAAGCGATTGACAGGGCAGTAGGTGGTGGAGGTGAAGGCTGAGAGGCGACGGATAACGATGCTGCCAGCGACGTCAAAGTGTGCGGTTTGGGGCGACGCAAATCCGGTAGCGGTGTTAACAGAGTGACGACGTAGTTGCGAAACGAGGTAAAAAGGGTGAGACGCAAATCGTCGCATTACTCCATAATACAGGTTTTTTGGATTAGATAACGTAAATATATAAATGTGTCGTGAAACTCACCACCACCCGACACAACCCATTGGTAAGGTTTGTCACGTGAACAGAAAATGCCAATTCGTTACTGGAACAGCACACCGGCGTGTTGGTGAGCAAAGCCACAACATTTACAATCAGTACGACGTTTCGCCAGTATCAGGCAACACCCAAAATCTGTCTGTTGCCTGATGAAGCTAGCTATAAATTTAACGACACGTTTATATATTTACGCGACCTCACCCAAAAAAACGTCACGGATATTGGTCGCGAAAGCTTACGTGTTAAACCGGGATATTACTGTAATCCTCTGGCTTTTGAGTAAGGGTGCAAGTGAAAAGTAATGCAGAACACATTCAATGGATGGCTCGGGTTAACAACGTGTAAGCTGGTGTGTGTGTGTGAGACCAGATTTGTCGACTTCAATCGACACCGAGCACAAGTTTGCAACTGCGTCTTACTTTCCAGGGAGTCCCGATAATCCGGTATTTATTTAGCCGTGAGAACACGACCGTCAGTAATCCGATGCTTTGTATTTAGGCGCTAGGGGGCGCTGCAGACCCTGAGAGTCGGGATTCGTGTGGCGTGGGGGACTGGCACGGGGGATGTTTCGAGGTAGGGAAAGGACACCGCCGAGCACGTCGATTGGTCGATGGCTGTCGACGGCAACAGCTGCTCCCTTGTAGAGACCACGTGCTCATGGTTCATAATGGCCGACGAATGGTAGATAATTTACTTTTAGGATTGTTTACCCAGGAGAGTCTCAAAGGCTTCAATGTGCTACGTATGTTGAACTTCTTTTGCACCGCACGCAGCAAAAGCGTGTTAATCGGAGGTGTGGACTCATAACGATTTTTTTTTGCTAAGTTTTCGCAATAGGAGCCGATGATCGCTGTACCGTAGTCCAATTTCGGAATTTGCGAGTCGCTGATATAAGATGTCCGCTGTCACCAATAAGTTTACATTTGACCAACTTTGGGCGAAACACTTAAACATAGCACATTCGCCCAGGTCGTGCTATGAATATACTGGATCCCGACCCTAACACTTGTATATTTCGAGTTTGCATGTCTCTCTCCCCGTGGTCGCGTGGATTTTTCTCCGGGGGTTCCGGTTTTTACCTCCACATTTAGAATCAACCTGCCGATATAGTAATTTGTCTGCTATACATTTCCACCTGATAAGCCGCTTCATTGTGCTATCATTTGTGGCCAGGTCGCTTCTGAAAAAGAGCCATATAGCTCAATGGGCCTTACCTCGGATAATTGTCTCGCGTAGTACCGCCCATCAATTTTTCTTCTCAAGACTGTTTTAACCTCGCGGTCACCGTTACCAGGACTGGTCCCACCAACCCTCCCATCCATGCACCGCTATTGTGGTGAAGGCTGCCCCCCCCCCACCACCAAAGGGTAAATGCAACGGTAAATGCCCAGCCCTGAAAATGGTGGCCTCCGACGACAGTGAGCTCTGAAAAGCCCCACTAGAGAAGACGGTTTTGTGGCCACACTCCACAATACCTTGCTGATCTCGTCAAAGGAGCACAAAACATCACGCGAACTACATTCATCATCATAGCAGCAGCTTTTGTGACTGGCCATCGAACAAAGATGGTCACCACATGGCGTGCTTTCAGATACACTTCTGCGACCTGGGTCCGCAGAAGGGTGACGAGCGAGATGTCTGGGTGAGCAGAAGGGTGGACAGAAGGGTGACGAGCGAGACGTCTGGGTGAGTAGAAGGGTGACAAGCGAGACGTCTGGGTGAGTAGAAGGGTGGACAGAAGGGTGACGAGCGAGACGTCTGGGTGAGTAGAAGGGTGACAAGCGAGAAGTCTGGGTGAGTAGAAGGGTGGACAGAAGGGTGACGAGCGAGACGTCTGGGTGAGTAGAAGGGTGACAAGCGAGACGTCTGGGTGAGTAGAAGGGTGGACAGAAGGGTGACGAGCGAGACGTCTGGGTGAGCAGAAGGGTGACGAGCGAGATATCTGGGTGAGCAGAAGGGTGGACAGAAGGGTGACGAGCAAGACGCCTGGGTGGACAGAAGGGTGACGAGCGAGACGTCTGGGTGGACAGAAGGGTGACGAGCGAGACGTCTGGGTGAGCAGAAGGGTGACGAGCGAGACGTCTGGGTGAGCAGAAGGGTGTCGAGCGAGACGTCTGGGTGGACAGAAGGGTGACGAGACAGACGTCTGGGTGAGCAGAAGGGTGACGAGCGAGACGTCTGGGTGGACAGAAGGGTGACGAGCGAGACGTCTGGGTGGACAGAAGGGTGACGAGCGAGACGTCTGGGTGAGTAGAAGGGTGGACAGAAGGGTGACGAGCGAGACGTCTGGGTGGACAGAAGGGTGACGAGCGAGACGTCTGGGTGAGTAGAAGGGTGGACAGAAGGGTGACGAGCGAGACGTCTGGGTGGACAGAAGGGTGACGAGACAAACGTCTGGGTGGACAGAAGAGTGACGAGCGAGACGTCTGGGTGAGCAGAAGGGTGACGAGCGAGACGTCTGGGTGGACAGAAGGGTGACGAGCGAGACGTCTGGGTGGACAGAAGGGTGACGAGCGAGACGTCTGGGTGAGCAGAAGGGTGAGCAGAAGGGTGACGAGCCAGACGTCTGGGTGAGTAAAAGGGTGGACAGAAGGGTGACGAGCGAGACGTCTGGGTGAGTAGAAGGGTGGACAGAAGGGTGACAAGCGAGACGTCTGGGTGAGTAGAAGGGTGGACAGAAGAATGACGAGCGAGTCGTCTGGGTGAGTAGAAGGGTGGACAGAAGGGTGACGAGCGAGACGTCTGGGTGAGTAGAAGGGTGGACAGAAGGGTGACGAGCGAGACGTCTGGGTGGACAGAAGGGTGGACAGAAGGGTGACGAGCGAGACGTCTGGGTGAGTAGAAGGGTGGACAGAAGGGTGACGAGCCAGACGTCTGGGTGAGTAGAAGGGTGGACAGAAGGGTGACGAGCGAGACGTCTGGGTGAGTAGAAGGGTGGACAGAAGGGTGACGAGCGAGACG